TATGAGAAATTTTGAGAAATAACAATTTTCAAGTGCCACTTTTCAAAAATATTACATTTTCAAAATTATTTACTCATTATATTATTTATGTTTGGGTTAATAATGTTGTTGTATTAGGGTTTAGTTTGAGGGTTGTTAAAACATTTTTTAGGGTTTAGAATTTTAAAATTTAGACTCTAAAAAATCATAATTAGTGGTATTTTTGGAAATATACATACCAAAAGGTAGTATTTTTGCAATTATCCCTTAATTTATAGAGTTTTGGACTGAATTTTAAACTCGAAAATCCAGAAATCCTAATCGGGATCGGATTGAACAATAAAAATAGAGAAGAAAATGGCGAAACAAATATTATTGTATTGTATTAAATTCCGATCTCATTTTCATTCTTTCTTAAACAAATAAATTATCAGAAATAGTTTTTGGTCATGTATTCACGAATCTGCAATTTCTTCTAACTTCTCCATCAACAAGACTCTCTGAATTCAAAATATTTCCCATCTTCACCATCGACTTGGAGAATTGCTCGAAGAAAGCAACCGGATCCTCCGCGTACTTGCTCACAATCCTCCGTGTCTGAATCCCGAACAAGCTCGTGTACATCTCCTGGTCCGAATTCAGTAACCCTTCTCCTCTCAGCAACGTGTGGTATATCGAATTGTCGAAGAGGTTCGGCGTCACATTGTCCATCGCCGTCACGTTACTGTCACCTTCTCCGCTGCTCGCCGGACAAATCTTTCGGAGACTTGCTAGGTACGTCTCCGATATCGGATTTAGGGCTGACGTCACCCGAAAATCTCCATAGATCCGTGATCGAAAGTTCCGGCATTGTGCCATTCCAATCGTGTGAGCTCCTATAGATTTGATAAATTTAGGGGTTTAGTGATCGGTTTAATGTGCCAATAATCCGGTCTACCACTATATCAAAAATATAAATTTTCGGTTTGTGTTACCATAGTTTTCGGTTTAGTTTGGTTAAGAGGATTGATCTAACCAGAAAATGTGGTGTAGACTATTTTTTTTCTTTTTTTTGTTTAGTATGTAACAGCCTAATTTGGATAAAATTTAGGGATTTAGTGATCGGTTTGATGTTACAATACCAAAATCAATTGTCCGGTTTTATGTTACAGTAATTTCCGGTTTAGTTTGGTTTTTAGAGGGTTGATCTTACCTGAAAGAGCGACCATGTCTTCAACAGAGAGACCTTGAGCATAGAATTTAGAGATGATGCTGATCAAACCCTCTTCAGGAGTTGGAAGGTTCGATGTTGCAAGCTCGTAGCTCGCTGTTTTTGAATCTTTTCTTCCCACAGGAACATCCCAGTAAGGCCCACCAACCTTTCATCATCAATACCAAAATGAAAATGCTGTCCCATTTCATAATTCATATGATATAGTAATAATAGAAAGTATTGATTGTGATAATCTGGTACCATGAGTAAGTATATGTACCAGAATTGTAGCATCTCTAGCGGAAATTGTGAGAAGATCAGCGCAAGAAACGACTCCTGGACATTCGGATTCGATTATGTTCTTAATTCTGTCTACAATTTTGTATCCTTTCAATGAGTTTATGTTGGGAGAAGCTTTCTTCTCTCCCTGCAATGATTCTGTTTCGTCTAGCAACACTGATCCGTCGCATCCCTGCAATACATTTTTAACCCTTAAGTAAAACCATCTACACCATAAAGCAATCCCCTAATTAAGTTTCAGCTAAACAGTTTCTTTCAACAGAAATCTATCATAATTAGGTTATTTGTTGAGTTTTCTTTGTAGGAAGAAGCATCCAATTCGACTGAATCAGGATAAAAGGAGGCGTGATGATTTCTTGTGTCTCAAGGAAGGTATGGAGAAGTACTTACTTGAACAAAGCAGTCGTGGAAGTGTAAACGAATAACTATGGCTGCATTTCTAGGATCTTCCTTCACTATGCATTCCATTTCTTTCTTGATGACGTCAAACACGGTCGGGCAAGTAGACTTGTAATATTCTAAGGTTAAAGGAAGATCCTTTCCCGATACATCGAAGGAAAAGCAGGGGATAAAGATGGTGTGAACCATAAAGAACACAAGGAGGAGTCTCATGGTTCTTCTCTTGAAACCCTTTTGGGAAAATGTAAAAGTGTTTGTGGGAGGTAAGGAGTTAGAGAAGATGGATGGGACTTCAAAGAGATATATAAGTTTGAGAGAGAGAGCGTTGAAGGGTTTTCTTGTGTTACAAGGATCTTTAGAAGTTGGTCAAGTAAGATGCAACTAATTTTGTGAGATGGTTGTTGGGTTTTCCTATGACCCAAAAATAATTAAATGAAAGTTTTTTTGAATATTAGTACAGATTATTACCAATACGAATCTTATATTACCGTAAAGTGTACTATTTCCACATTTATACTCTATTTTTTATTTGAAAAGGAAGGTTTCTTGTTTGTATGTTTGCTACTATGTTCATCAAAAGTATTTCTCGAAACTAATCTAGAAGTCTCGTTCTTTTGTAATTTGTTAAACTGTGAAATTAAGAAATATATTATTCCGTAAGAAGTTAAAAAATATATTTCAACTTGGACTATGACACAACTGCGTCACTAATATAAATGATATGCTATATTATTTGCTCCGAATGGTTTAATATTAGATCAATGGAACTAAATTTACTTTGTAATGGTCAGATTTGGTACTAAAACCGCCTAATTTGCATAATTATATCATGAGTAATAGGTAAGGTATATAGGTCACCAATAAAATTACATGAATCACTTCTGGCGTCATGCATTTAAAATTTTAAATCGGGGATTATAGATTTCTCTCAACCTCATAAACTTTGTTTAGCAATAACTTATTTTTGGGATAAATTGCTTAGGAACAATTTATATCTTTTATTTATAAATAATATTGCCAAGTGTTCTTCTATTCCTCTGCTTCTTCCCAAATGACGAAATCTGGATCAAAAAGTAGGAGGGAAAATATGATCCATTCGTTGGCGTCATCTTGAATTACACCATTGATAATAATAACGATGTACTACACAATCTTAACTAGAACTTAAATTTATTTAATTATCGTCAACTTGTTATTATTTTAAAAAGATTTTCAGTCTTGAAAACAGTTAAAACAAGGTTATATAAGTTGGAAGAAACTAGTGTTAGGTGGTTTTGGTAGTGGTAGGAAATTTTGTTTACGTCTTGACCTCGTCTTAGGTTTGAATCCGACTTATACCTTAACGCAGTTTAGTTTGAGGTAAAAAGATTAACTTTATTCAAAATTTAAAGGGGCAATTACAAAAATGTCACTTTTTGTGTGCACATTTGTAAGAATGCCATTTAGGGATGTTTATTTACAAAAATGTCACTAATTATAAATTTATAGAGCATATATCTTAAAATTCTAAACCCTAAAACATGTTTTGACACCTAAAACCCTCTAAACACTCAAAACTAAACTCTAATAGAACATAATTAACCTGAACATAAATAATATAAAAAAAAAAATTTGAAAAAGTAGTATTTTTGTAAATATTTCAAAAGTGTGGCATTTTTGTAAAGTGGCACTTGAAAAGTGACATTTTTTGAAATTTCTCAAATTTAAATAAGATATGACTTGATCGCCCCAAAAAGTAGTAATTTTGAGGAAATCAGACCCATAATTTTTGTTAATTTTTGTGCTTTTTCTAATTAAGCGACCAAATTAAAATCAAACCCAACAAAACTTTCAACTTCATTTCTTTCATTATCTGCTCTCCCTCATAATTATACAATATTTTATTTTCGCTTCATATAATGTCTATGTTTCAATATTCCATTTGATCATGAAATCATTTTAAAAATAAGAAATTTGGAAAAATGCCTCTCTTGCCTCTTAAATTTGAAAAATACCCTTTTTTTTTAGTTTTGAAAAATACACTTTATTGGATTTGAAATTACTAAAATATCCTCATAAAATCTGAACAAAAAATTATATATTTTAAATAAAATTTAGTTTGTTGTGATATATATATATATATATATATTTAGCATAATTTTTAGTTTTCATCATATCTTTTACAAGATTTATTATATATTTGTTCTCAGATTATAGACAATCTTATATAATATTTATCTGAAATTATAATTTTACAAAAAAAAAATATTACTATTAATATGCCATAAAATATTTTTTAAAACGACTCAATTAGAAGTTTACATAAAATAAGAAAGTCCAAAAAAATAATTCATGAAATGTCGTATCAACATTATAAGTTTTCTGACTTTGCTTTAAAAACTTGATACTCCTCTTTATATAAGAAATGTAGGGTGTTATTTAAAATAGTTTATAATGTAATAAATGTTGAAGATTATAAATGTCATATATAACAAGAGATTTATCTTCTTTATAATTAGTAGCAAATTTTAAAGTTTTAATCAGCAAAACAACTTTATCTCAAATTAAAAGAAAAGTAATATTAATAATAATTATATTTACGAATTAATTAATTTTTAAATCAGTAAAACAACTTTATCTCAAATAAAAAGAAAAATAATATTAATAATAATTCTATTTACGAATTAATTCATTTTTAAATCAATAACACAACTTTATCTCAATTAAAAAGAGAAATAATAATAATTTTTATTATATTTAAGAATTAATTAGTTGTTAAATCAAATAAGGACAAAACAGACTTTTTAACTATTGAAAGAGGTATTTTTCAAAAACCAAAAAATCAAAGTGTATTTTGCAAATTTTCAAACATAATTGGTGTATTTTTCAAAAATTCCCTTGTAAAAATCAGGTACTATTCATAACAAGTTTTACATTCATTTAATTAAGCCATAAGAAGATGCAAGCACAAGTAGATAAAAAAATGTGATTAATTGAAGAAAAATATTAGCAAAAAGGCCCATTAGCTCAGTCGGTTAGAGCGTCGTGCTAATAACGCGAAGGTCGCAGGTTCGAAACCTGCATGGGCCAATTTATTTCTACTTTTTTAACTTCCCTATAATTTTTTTTTGTCGTACTTCCCTATCATTTACATAAAATAAAACTGGTTGTCCAACACTTCATACTTTTCCCTTATATTTATATCAAAATTTGTTATTCGTTGGAAATTATGGAAACTTTTCTAAGATAGGTGTTAACTTATACACGGTCTTATCTTATATACTTGACACTTCAT